CCAGGAAGAATTTCGACCGCCAGGACAGGACTGAAATTGCAGGGTCTTCACGTGTCGGGCCCTGGGAGGCACTCGCTCGACACTGTTTCGACACCGTTTCGAAACTTTTCCGGGTGCTCGAAATCGTGTCTGGGATGTGGTCCTTAAGTACGATGGGAACAGCATAACCCTATGCTTAAGTCGGGCGTGTCCCCCTACAGGGTGATTTTCGACGAAAACGTAAGACTACCCCCAAAATAGTCAAAACATAGACTGCAAATAGTATGGGGATTAGTTGTTGAGTATTGTTTGACCTTTTTTGGGATATGAGTGGGGTATTTTTTCGCCGAAAGTCCCCCTGTAGGGGGACACGCCCGACACAACCCTATGCCAGCCCCACCCCTAGTGCGTTGCCCACGAGCTCCGTCTTGGCCATGGCCCTCGGCTTCCTTGCCCTCTCCGGTGCCCGAGGCGCGGCGTGCGTGCGCGCTCCAGAGTCCGAAGCCCGAAAACCATCACGTCACTAATTTGGGGCCCCAGGGCCCACTGAGGCCCCAGGGGCCCCAGATTAGTGAAGTGATGTTTTTTTCCCACGTAAGGACCCCGAAATTCATCACTTCACTAAACCGAGCCCAGGACGAAAGTCAGAGGCCGCATTGCTGCTGTGATGCAACGTCGGTCTCGTACAGAGGGCCCCCGGGCCGCGCGGCGTCCTGCCGTCCGCAGGAGGTTCGAGGGAAGGATCGAGGATTCAGTCGGGCGTGTCCCTGCACAGGAGGAATATCTAATCGCTTCGCTCATTCCGCCGGCCCTGGGGCGCTATTTGGGGCCTCTTGGGGCCGTCTTGGGGGCTTCTTGGGAGCGTCTTGGGGCTCCTTGGCGGCGTCTTGGGCTCCCCTGGAGGCCTCTTAGGGGGCTCTTGGGGGCCCCTTGGGGCGGGAGGGGGGGTAGTCGATTGCAGCCATCCCCTCGGAGGCCACGATCCTCGTGAGGGGTGGCGAAAATTAGGAATATTCAAAATGAGTCAACAATTAATGTTGGGACGATCTCTTTAAACACTGTTCGGGTGGTTTGGGGTATGCTTCGGGTATGTTTTAACTTTCGCCCAAAAACCGCCAGCAGGGGGACATGCCCGACCTAAATCGAGGATCGCAAGGAAGAGGCGGAGGCGGAGGAGGAGGAGGAGGAGGAGGAGGAGGAGGAGGAGGGCGCTACAGCCACGACGCTCAAGTTCGCCCAGCGTAAAAGGAGGATGAGGAGGAGGAGGAGGAGGAGGAGGAGGAGGAGGAGGAGGAGGAGGAGGAGAACGTGAACGAGGACGAGAACGACAGGGAGGAGGAGCAGCAGGAGGAGGGCGAGGGGCCGCTCAGTTACTCTGCGCCCTCACGGGCACTTCTGCTTTTCCGAACGTGGTTTGCTTCACACATGTCTGCATGGACCTGCAGCTTTTTTTTATTGCCGCATGGTCTAAGCCGGATCGCTACGTCTTTGTGTTGCAGCCAGGACGCTGCAAGCAGATCACTTAAAGTCCGCCCGCCGCACAAAAAGGAAGGCGAGGAGCAACCTGCACGGCATGGCTGGCGTACATTATGTGCACTTGTGGGCCCGCTGTCCCTTCCTTTGCCTCTTGCGCCTGTCTTGCTTCTGCGCGCCCGCCAGGCTTCACGCGCATTGGCCTCCAGGCCCAAGTCGGCGTTCGCGGTGTTCACACTTTGGCTGCAGGGCCGAGAAGCGAGCTTTTGGGGCCCGAAGGGGGTACTACCCATCTTCCCCCCCATTGATCGCCTCTCCACGAATTCGCGCCCAAGCTCAAGTTAGCCCAATGTGTTATATATATATATATATATATATACACAATGAAACACGCGAGGAGAGGGAGTGCCTGGCCGCCTCGCGCCCGTCCGCGCCGCCGCCAGAGAGCCCGCCCCTGCGCCCCCGCTGTGCCCTGCGCGAGCCGCGCGGCGGCTCCTCCGCTCCCCAGAGGGGGGCCTGCCCCTTGCCTGGGTTCCTGGACCGTCCACAGAAACGAGTTGGGATGAAGAGCCAGTGCCCGGGAGATGGTCGAGACATCCCAGGGATCCCGCATTGAAAAAGTAAGAGCTCTGATCTCTGAGGTGTGGCGACCACGCTGTGTGCCCTGCGATCCAGGCTGTGTATTTTTTTGTCACATCAGGCAATTTGTCGCTTCGATTTTCGGGCCCAGGGCCATCGCGGATCGATGCGCCTCGAAGAGAATGGCGCAGCAGGATGGGGACTATAGTCAGGAGGGAAAAAACACAGACACAATTCATCGTCGATTCCTCAGAAAATGTTGGAAAATATGGGAAGTGGGGGGGAAGACAGAAACCCAGAAAATATGTGAAAATATGGGGAATCCTTTTATTTGTGTGTATTTATTTGTGTGTCCTTGGGCCCCTTGAACTACAGGGCTCTGGTCGTGGTTTGTGTTGCGATGTTGCGTTTTTTGTTCGTAGCGCAGGAAGTCAGGGGCGAGTCAGTGGGGATTCGGGGTGCCAGCACGGTCTCGGGACTCGGGTCGCTCTCCGAGGGCGTCTCGGACGATTAACTTGGCATCTTCGGGGGATCTCTCCTGTCCTGTACATGGTGGTCTTTTCTTATACTCCGATGTGGGTTCGACGCGGAATCGGCGTGAAGCTGACGTGGATTCGACACGGATTCGATACGTTGGACATGGGTTCGACACGGATGCGACACGGATGGTTGGCAGGATGGGACAGACGATATTCTCCAAAGATGCAGCATAATGTCGATTGAGGCGTCCAGGGTCCTCAAACTCGGGGAAATGTAAGACTCGAATTCGCCAGACCTCGGGCCTACCAATGCTTATTGCCAGGCCCGTCCTGGAGTTTGGCGGCCCAGTTTTCCTTAGATGCCTGCAGCGAGAGTTCGCGTCAAACTTCATACGGTACGGCGGGAGCGTTTGTTAGACGTTAGAGAATGTGTCCAGGAGGCTTCAGACCCTGGAGGGTTCCTTATCTAGTGAGCGTGGCAGTGATATTCATGGCCAATCCAAGGTCGGAGTTCCACCAGCTTCCAGAGCTTGGATTCCTTTTCCAATGGTTCCTTATTCAATGCCCTCACCTCACGATTGGCTCATGCAGCGATGGTGCGCCGGCGATGCTGGCGAACGCGTTCAAGATTGAACTCCGCGTGGTAGAACGACGCGGAAGCACTGAGGGACACGGCAACGCCACAGGACCCGACTGAGTTCGACTGTGAACACGGTGGGGCCGCGATCGGTTCAAGGTTGAACGATCGACGCGGTGTCAGAAACTTTTGCTCGCGCCGATGCCGCACGAATCTGCCGTATTGAATCTCGTCATCTTCTTGACGGCCCCGTCAGCCAACCCGAGTCTCCTGAACCCGAGTCTCACGTCTCCCTGACCCAGACATGCAATGTCTTGATTTTTCCAATGCGGGGCCCCCGTTAGTCCCGACTCTTTCCCCAGGGCTGCTTTTTCATCGCGAGTCGTTTTTTGTCGGTCCTGGGGCCCGGCGAGGGCCCCCAGAGGCCGAAAAGAGCCAGACACCGCCCGCTCTGACTTTTCACAACGCGATATCATTCAGGAGGGAAGAAACCACACACACACACAATTCAGAGTCGATTCCCGCGAAAAATATGGGAACATATGGGAAAGGGGGGAAGACACAAAACCAAGAAAATCTGGGGGAACATATGGGGAGGCATCCGGTGATCTATGTCTATTTCCTTGTGCGCCCCAGGGCCCCTTCCACCAGGCATGTCGGCGCGTCCTCGCGCTCGTCCTCGTCGCCCTCGTCCTCCTCGTCCTCCTCGTCCTCCTCGTCCTCCTCGTCCTCGTGCCCCTCGTCCTCGTCCTCGTCCATGGCGACCCAAGCTTCCCCCCGCCCCCGACCAGGCCGTCGGCCCCCGCGGGCCGGCCCGCTTGGCCCCGCGGGCGCGGCCCGAGACAGAGAGAGAGAGCCTCTCCGCGGCCCCCCGCGGCGCCCGCCCGCGGGGGGGCGGCGCCGCGGCCATGGCGTCGTCCTCGTCCGGGGCCGCAGGCGCCGAGCGTTCTGTCGGGCGTGTCCCCCTGCAGGGGTATGTTCGAGGAAAGATTTTTTAAAAGTACCCCAAAAATACTCAAAACATAGTCCAAGAACAGTCCGGGGAGTATTTTTGTCCAGTGTTTGTTTCACCATGTTGGTGCATGTCTGGAGCATCTTTAATTTTTCGTCGAACATCCCCCTGTAGGGGGACAGGCCCGACTTAAGCCGAGCGCCGCGCCCACGGCGACTCCTCTCGATGGGCCTGCCTTCCACCACCAGCGGGCCACAAGAAGGCGGAGAGTGAGGAGGCGGACGAAGCGGAGGAGGAGGAGGACCCCCCTCCCCCCCTACGATGTGGTGGTGGCCTTGGAAAGCAGGCCCACCACTTCTGCCTGCTGCTGCCCGGTGTGCTTGTCGGCTGCGCGCAGGACGCAGGCCCCCCTGGCGTCCTGTGACAGACCGGGCGGGCGGTCTTTTGCGATTCTTAAGTTGGCCTCCGGAGGCCCTCTCGCGGGGCCCTGGGGCCCCAAGACGAGAGCGACTCGGGATGAACAAAAACCGGTCCCTGGGGAGGGGTCGAGACCTTTGGGGGACGGCAGCCCACCCCGCCCACAGGAGCCTTCGGTCTCGCTATCGGGGGCCTATCGCCGATATATCGGCGATGAATCGGCGATGCCAGGTCAACCTTCCCCCCCTGGAGCCGGTCCCCCCCTGAAGTTCCCTCTCACTTCGGTGTGTTCCTTCTGCTGCGCGCAGGAGTGAGCCCTCGCCGGAGTGACTTTAGGTGCGCCATGTTCGGGGGGGCGCAGCGGGGCAAAACCCAGGCACGCAATCCGCCACTGTCGCACCGCGCGGATCGAGTGGCAAGCCGCACACCAAGGGTCACTCTTGCCCAGAGTCGCTCTTGCGTGTAGCCGACTTGTGCAACAACTGGCCTTTGCCACAACCGGCGCAACTCTCGCTCCACGCATCCAGGGGCGGCAGGACCGAACTTCGCGGCATCGAGGTCCTCGGACCTCTGGCACTCTTTTTTCATGAGGCGCGAGGGCTTCTGCGAAGGCCCGCCGCCTCCTGAGAAGGCCCGCCCCCTCTCCCTCCCACCCCGGGCCTGCCACCGACCGGCGGCTTCCCGTCGCCACAGGCGGGAACCCTTCGAATGTCGGGGGCGGCAAAGAGGGGGGTGATGACTAGGGGGAGGGATATCATGGCTATTTCCCGAGGTTTCGCGCCTCTTCTTATTTCATTGCGTCCCTGGCCCCCCCGTCGGGCCGCGCACATGCCGCCGGCCACAATTTGCACCCCCCCTCTTGGACGCCCCCCTCCTGGCCGCCCCCGAGAGTGCAGATCAAAACGAACCCCATGACAGGCCGGCTGAAGATCGGGAGGCTTCCGGAGGGGTTTTCCGAGGTCTGGTCTCTTGCTCGGTGCGGGGGCGGTGCCTCTCGGCATCCGCGGCGCCTCGTCGAGGGGCGTCCAGGGGCAGCATGCTTGGCCTCCAGTCGGGCCTGTCCCTCTAGAGGATGACAATTCAACAATAGCCAAAAAACAATTATGGGAACGATTGGTTGAGCATTTGTTTGCCCATTGTTGAATAGTCTTAGAGTCTTGGTTTCTTTTCGTCGAAGAGCCGCCTGTCGGGGGACATATGCCCGCCCGACCTGAGCTCAGCCCGAGCGGTCGCCTGTGGCCCGAAGGCCGACCGGCCCGGACCCCTCTCGCGTCCTCCTCCTCCTCCTCCTCCTCCTCCTCCTCCTCCTCCTCCTCCTCCTCCTCCTCCTCCTCCTCCTCCTGAGAGCGCCTTCGACGGCTTCCCCCTCTTCTTGAGGGAGGCGGCGCGGGGTCTGGGCCTCGCGACGGAGGGCCCCTGGCGGTTTCGGGCTCCCGGGGAGCCCCTGCTGGGGCAACGGGTCTCCACCTTCTCCTGCTCCTCCGGGCACAACGCAGGAGCACATCCACAGCCGCGGGGTCGGATGCTCCGGAGGGCCTCTCTCGGGGGAGAAGCCACCGACCTCGACATGAGCCTTTTTGTGGCTGTGGTCCGTGGTCGATGTGGCCGGCCTCTGGACGCCACGCCGACCACAACTGGTACGAAGCTGGCTTCGGTGTTCCGCCAGCTTTCTGGCATGCGCAAGGCATCCCCCCAGGGTGCGTCCTCGATGTGGTTGTGGTCACCTGCTGTCCCCGCACGAGGGCGCGAGGACAGCTAGCCGCACGTGGCGCACCGCGGGGCGCAAAGCTAGGTGACACGAGCCTCTGCCCGCCCCTCCCAGTCATCCGGCGCCTCGAAGTTTGCGATGCGCAGACCCTTGGATCTTCGAGTAGGGGATCGACTGCAGGGTTGATCTACCCCGAAAATGAGTCCCTCGTCGAATTTACGACGAATGCGTAGGATTTTCGTAGGTCTACCGAACGTTGTACGCATTTTTTGTCGACTCAACGAACAAAACAATTTTGGCGGAAATGAATTCTGTAGTCGACCCCCTGCTCGGGACCTCCCGACCCCTTCCCCAGCACTGGTTTTCCAGCTCGAGCCATCTTTGCTTCGACGGTCCCGAAGCCCGACTTTACAACACAACACATACGCGGTGCATGATGCAGGCCGATGTCCGATGCTTGATGTTAGAGCTCTTCAGGGGTTTTAGGGGCTACTGCCTCACGCGCCTTGCCCAAATGGGCACAGGCGCACGCGCTTCGCCGTGTCAGCCTGCACCGGCGCCTCGCTCACTCGCTCGCCCCGTACAGTGAGGGTCTTGACCTAAGGAACCCAAAATAAGGAACGGGGCCCCTTCCTCCCATAAGTTGAGCTTCGATTTCCCATGGAAAGCCACAGGAAAACAGAAGGCAAACTGCAGAACAATCCAGGAACACCGAGCCCCTCCCCAACGAAAAGCGTTCCTTCTTCAGGGCCCCGACTGTAGCCCGAGACCACGGGGCAAGCTACAGGCGGTAAGCTACAGTCGGGGCTGCTGAAGAGGGAACCCTTTGCGTTGGGGAGGGGCTCCGCGTTCCTTAAGTGTTTCACAATTTGCCTCAGGTTCCCGTTAGGTTTCCGAAGGTAAATCGAAGTTTAACCCATGGAAGAAATGGGCCTCGTTCCTTGTTCAGGGTTCCTTAGGTCAACGCCCCGACTGTACTGCCTCACGCGCCTGGCCCAACTGGGCACAGGCGCACGCGCTTCGCTGTGTCAGCCTGCACCAGCGCACCTCGCTCACTCGCTCGCCCCGCAGCCCGAGACCACGGTCTCCAGAGGCCAGCAACGGCGGTAAGCCTGGCCGCCTCGATACCTCTGAGGCGCCCACCATGCGTCGGGGCCCCTCCCCCGGAAGGAAGAGGTCAACGGCTGCCCCCGGAGGAGGAGGAGGAGGAGGAGGAGGAGGAGGTATGGAGGAGGTATGGAGGAGGAGGAGGAGGAGGAGGAGGAGAGGAGGAGAAGGAGGAGGAGGTATGGAGGAGGGAGGTATGGAGGAGGAGGAGGAGGAGGAGGAGGAGGAG